AGGAATGCTATCACGATTAGCCCACCACAACCTGATAAATCGGTTACCCATTACAGCATCAGGTGCCTTTAAAGCAGCTTCAGCCTCTTCCCTCCTTGAAAACTGGACAAAAGCTCGTTCACTATTTGATGGAATGTAGATGTCAATGACCTCTCCAAATTTTTGAAAATGAGAAAGAAGAGACTCCCTTTTGTTGTTTTTCTGAGGAATGCCATTAACAAATAGAGTACGGAGTGCTTTTTGAGATGATCTCCGAATGTTACGCGTGGAATCAAAAGGTGTCTGGGGTGATGAATCCATGGTGTTTGGGCAGTCTTCTGCAATTATACGCTTTCCTTGACGTGGTGGAGTTTGAGTGTTGACAGCCTCCTTAGCTTCCTTGGTATCACTCTCAATATAATCTGAAGAATTTATTACAGGATCAACTTTCTCCTTCACATCTAATCTACTTTTTGAACTACCAATTCTACCCCACACAGACATGCTTGTACTCTGTGAACTGGCAGCTGCCCCAACACTTCTAATTGGGAATTCATTATCAGCATCATTCGACAAGGTTTCAGTTTCATCATTCCTGGGTGATCGCAGGCCTAGAAGTGCATTTGAGGTTTCAGGACAGTTATTATTCCACAGGGGTTGATCAGGGTCATACAAATCAGCACCACCTGCATAACCAGTACCAGAATATGAACCACTCAAGCCCAAGCCATCATCAGTGACAGCAGTCTTGCTTGTTTTTACATGTAAGCCTTTGCTATTCATCAATGCGGTTGAGGATGCACTCACTGATGGTAGAGATCCCGGGCCTGTGGGTTTTCCCAGTAAGTGTGCACTTGGAATCGACACAGGGAGGTTGAACTGGGAAAGACTCTGTAATAGGGAGAACATAGGACATCAATAAAAACACAGACCAACAAAGAAATAACGTTTAAAAATAATGAAACTTCCATCCAAGAGAAATCCCAACATAACTAAATGATGAATGAGTTCAAGTCAAGTGATTCATTTGTGTTGTAAAAAGAAAAGAATACAACATAAAACAAATAATAAATAATTAAAAAAAAAAAGATCATCAAGTCACTAGATTTCAGAGCCAAAATATGGCATGCACATGCCAATGCTTCTACAGTATATAATTAAACAGTCAGGTATAATGACTGGAAGAAGCCGGTTGATGGTGCAGACAAAAAGAGATAAAGTTTGCTTGTCCACCATATTGAAACATAATCATAGACGGAGCCACCCTAGGCTTACTGGGGGCGGCAGCCCCCACTCACATTGGTTCTTAAACAAAAAAGAGTACATGTAGTATCAACTTTCAAGCTAAAACCTCACTTAATAACCACTCTATTGAAATAGAATATTCACTTACATTTTGCCAACAACACCCCACCCATTATTTTACGCCATACACAATAGAAAAGAAGCATAATGGACCTGATTGTAGGCATTGACTACAATACTTACATGTATTTAATACAATAACCATCTGACGATGAGTATAATTCATGTAATTAAATGTATTTAATAGAATCACTATCTAAATGTCGAGGTGGGTGATTTGTATTAAATATATGTAAGTATTGTAATTTGGAGTTTTTCGTTCTAATTGATTTATGTTATCATTTTTGTTTACTTGCTCTATTTGTCGTGTTTCTTCTTCTTGTTTGTGCATATTATTTACTGGATTTTAAAATGATTTTGATTTATCAATGTTGGTTGTTTTTTGATAAAGAACAGTGGTTTCCACGAACATAAAACATTACGACATAACATACAAGTGGTTCGCTTGTATACTGGGTTGAACTTTTTAATTTTACTTTGTTGTTTTAGGATGCCCCCATTCAAAAAAAATATCTAGCTCCGTCCCTGTACATAATGCAGAAACATGTCATCTCTCTCTCTAAAGTACTTGCATGAAATTGAATCATTCAAGTTGCAGCCAAGTTGATAAATAACACATTATAATTTGCCAAGAAAAAAGTGCTACATTAAGGTGAATATGAACCCCAGTAGATGTGGAGTGATCCTCAGTCTAAAGATGCTTTGCCACAAAATAATTTTCCCCTACTTTTCAAGTCATTGTGCAGTGTCAAATATGCAACAGATGTTCAAGTAACAGGAAAGATGTAAATGTACCTGGACATCTTCAATAACAATCCGATTCATACCATGCTCCATTGGGCACACATCCCCTCTGAGACAAAATCCACGCTCCTCAAAGTCTCTACATCTTTGGCGAGGAATCCCCATATTTAATGAAGAATGGATTGGTGGTCTGAGTGTTCCTTGCAAGCCAATGGAATGTAGTGTGTCCATGGAACCATTTGGTATTCCTGGAATCAATCCAAATGCATTCCAGGATCCACTTTGTGCACCGGAAACATTTGGCAATCCACGTCCAGCAAAAAGACTCGGACGGATGGAGCCCTGATGAACCATTTGAGAAGCAAGATCTGAGTTGAACCTAGGACCGCGTTGGCTCCATGATCCAAAGTCCCGTCCTCTTCCCCTACCAGGACCAAGGTCACCAGGAAATGCTTGGTTTGCCCGGATTCTTTGATTTAAATCAAAAGGTGCTCGAGGCAGTGATGCTGACCCCGGGCGTCTTTTATCAAATTTTACAGAAAAGTCAGTGGAATTGTGATTTCTCCATGGCGTACTTGCTTGAGAGTCATTATCTCTAAAAGAGTTCCCATTTACAAAAGGTTTGTTTCGCTTTCTGAATGGCCTTGTTGTGACTTGATCAAAAGTATCTCTCTCCGAAGACTGAGAGCGAGTATCTCGTCTACGATGCTTGTGGTTTCGATCGTCATCATCATCATCACTTACTTCCTTCTCCTCAGGATCACTACTGCAATCAGAAGGGGAAAGACCCCCAGGTTTTGGAGATGAAACTTTTAACTCCATTGATCCCTCAAAATCACTAGAACGTTGGCTCATGCCACCAATAGTTCCAGTTTCCCAGTGCAGAAACCAAATCACTTGCTTGCCTACAAATATTCCAGCAAAAGAACCTAAATTTACTTTCCAAGAAATACAAAAATAAAAATGAAAGTAATTAGAACGGACAATCATCCCCATTTAACAGAAAATACAAATCAGACACGAAAAACAGTTGAAGTGCCCACACACTGAAATCCTTGCACCATAATCATATCAACTTAATACACATTGTGCAATAGACATACACGTGCCAGCACAAATTTATAAGCTACTTAACTGCCACCCTGAAATAATCGAACTTTCATAGACGAGAATTGCATTCAATTTCAGTACTTCCCTTCACTAATCATTCAAAAAATGAGCGATGATCGTCGGACAATTGACATTCTAACGAAATGTTTGATGCCCAAAGCAACGATCAAGATACCGAACACCCAAAAAACAATCACCAACCAATAACTAAATGCAATTTTATACATATTGGTAGGCGCTACCAAATTAAGCTCCTAAAACCCAGAGGCTTTCACAATTAGAACAAAACGATACGTAATCCAATACAATCAACACAATTTAACCCTGCGAATTGGATTAAGCGATGAAAATTTAGGTTTAGAACGAACAGCAAAACAAAATCAAATAAATAAGCATAAAATCTTACAGATTGTTGCAGAAGAATCGAGCAACAAATGCCTCCTGAAGCTTCACGCACAGGGATTGGTTCAGCTACGATACGCAGCGGGGAGCAATGCGCCGAGGGCATGGATGAAAATTTACGGAAGATACATAGCTGCAGAAGCAAGGGGGTGAGGGGCAAGGATCGTAAAAAAGTGGTAATCGAAGGGGGTTTATCAAGTGGGAGAGAGGAGAGAGATTTGGCGGGGGAGTAAATGCGAGGGGAGAGAGGGGTTTTGCGACTGTGACTTGATTGGGGGGTTTGGAGAGCTTCTGTCGAGCAAACAGAATTTCCGAGAGAGACGACACTGTACCAAAATTTGGAATACGTGAAATAATGTGGGGACGAAAAATAGTTGCAAAATTGCAATTTTCTACCATAATGTTTATTAAAATTATGAATGTGTCCCAAAACGTTTTTTTTTGACAAATCAGATGTAACAAAACACCCATAGCAAAAGTAGTAGCATATAGAGCCTCAGTTTTGCACTTAAAATCTCGGGTTCAAATTTTAGCCCCTTTGAAAAATAAAAAAAATAAAAAAATCGAACCTACTACTCCGTTATCATAACCATGAAAATCAAACTAAGATTTACGCTAATTAGGTGAAGATCATATACTACTAGATGAGAAATTTTTCTGTGTGTCAAAGATACAGTTGATACGCCAAGTGTAATTATGTAATTAGTTGAAAACTTAGAAAAAATTTAATCACTTATATTATGACACTTAATGTTTCAGATCGTGATTCCATCACACTAAAAATATTCTCCTACTAGACCAACTATTCATGGCATCGAGACTCTCGTTTTCATATTTTATCATTACTTTGTAACTTGTTCTTCTTTCTTGGAAAACAACTTTCAGTCCCACCAACACCGGCGGCCCATCTCATCATTCATCGCCCAGGATAAAAATTGGGGACAATGATTCTTCCTTTATTTTGCTAACCAAGGAATCTCTTTTCCTTGTTTTCTTAATGGCACCTTAATACATACGTTTTCTCGTCGGAGTTAGGTCAGTTGACCAAAACACACTGTGCCTCCGTCCTTCCGGTTAGAGTTAAATCAGTTGATCAGAACACCTAGCCTTCCTTCCAATCGAATTCGACCCCTTCTAGTATATATTAGAATAGTTACGAATAATAAAAAAAATCTACAAAAAAATACAAAAAATAGAAAAGGGAAAATCGGCAATACTAATATTTGCACCCACACCAAAAAAAGAAATTGTGTATTGAGAGGTAGTTATATAGAGTAAGAGATGAAAATATAAGACAAAAAGCAAAGCACATAAAGGGTTGTAGTCTCCCAAGTTCCGAGCGATAGGTGATCAAGTAACAAGTGATACTTCATGTACATCGGTCCGAAACCCACACCATACTATCGGCCATACCAACCTCGGGGCGGCTGAACATCCCCGTCGTTCATCAACTTATCTAGCACCACATTGAGGTCAACTGACTGGCCACTGTCTGTCAGCTTCCGAACTGCAGCCCTAACTTGGTCTCTGGAGAAACCCATAGTTGCCACTTGGTCAATCACATCGTCAATGGCTACCCTGCTTCCACTACCGGATGAAGGTGAACTGCCACCCGCCCCAGATGGCGTAGGGTTGGCATGTGGTAGCACCCGAGCAGTTGGGAGCTGTGGGTAACCACTGCCTCCACTTTGAGCTGTAGCAGAAGAAGAGTGATGTTGTGGTTTCATTGAGGAGCTACCTGCCATATTGAGAAGGTGGTCCACCGTATTGGTATGACTCACCAAGCCCAGATGGAGGGTTATACCCAGAAGGATACGCTGCACTGGGTCTGCTAGAAGGTGGCTCATATGCATTTGAAGCTGGACTGTAATACTGTTGGGAAGGAGGGTGACCGCTGGGTGTATGAGAAGGTGGCTGGCGAAGAATTGGTGGGTAGTTCTGGGAAGGGATATAAGGCGACTCTTCAGTGTGGTGGCCTAATGTAGGCTGGATTTGAGAGGGATTAACAGTGCAAGCGAAGGGTGCTGTTGAGGCAGCTGGGGTGGCGGCTGGGAATACTGTGGTTGAGTGGTAGGTTGAAATTGTTGATGCGGTGGCACTGGAGGAAGGGGAGCAGGCTGCTGACCTGGAGGTACTTGGTATTGATGATTTGGGGCTTCTTGAGTTTGACCAGGCGCTGGGAAATAAGGGTCTCTCTGAGGGACGGGAGGGATCTGGTTCTGAGAAAACTGATTTGGAAGTTGAACTGCATGTGGTACATTTTGGGGGATAGGTTGGGGAGGAGCATTTGGATGAGAAACACCAGGAAGTGAGGGAGGAAGGTTCATGGGGGGATGAATTTGTTGCTGAGAATGTTGAGGAGCAGAGGCGGCTGTCTGCTCAGTGTGTCGTTGTCCAGCATTCTGAGGTTCCAGTTGAGGGTCTATCTTTGTATTCGATACTTGTATCCTTGCAAGATTCAGTTCTACCATTTCTTGCGCGTCCTTCAAATCCTTAACATCTGTTTGCACCTGTGTGTGATGTTGGAAAAACCAAAGAAAGAAGAATGTTCAATGTAGCAGTACATACTCACTGGTAAACTTGTTAGGTTAAAATGTTTGCAAAAACCAATCAATTTAAATGCCTAGAAGATCGAAAGTTTTTAAGAATTTCAGGTTTAGTAAAGCATGGGGATACGCAACTTTGCTTCTACCCTCTCTATTTAGTTCTGAGATTACAAGTGACATGCACTGGCACACAGACAGGGTAAAAACTAATAGTGGTCCTGCATATGCATCAATCATACTGCCAATGCTAATTGAAAGAATTCCGGATGAACAGAAGATATTTGACTAAACCCAAATGCAACCATACATTAAGTTCACACCAAAAAGAAGGGTAAAGCGGCAACATACATCTCTAAGAATACCCTTCAAATCATTGACAGAATCCTCAAGATTGCGGCTTCTGCTCTCTAGTTGTGTTAGTCGTGCACTAACACCTTCCAGCACATGTAGCAAATTATCAGCATGCTTCTTCATGGTCTGGTCAATCTCTGACTGAATTACGGCATTGCGGTCCTTCTCTAATACAAGTTTTGCAGGTTCAAGGGAATCCATTGACCCATAATTCTGTAGAAAACAAGGAAAGAGTAGCACCATGTAAATGCAAATAAACCACATGGTAAAGCCCACATACAGTTATCGATCATATATCCCTTTCGGATTGTCCTAAATAATAACATAAACGGAAACAATATCAACCAAAAAGCTTCAAGATCAATCAAAAAGCTGCCATGCTAGGACATACTCTGCCCTCGGGAAAATTCGGTACAATCCTCCATTAACAACAAACACAAAATTTCAATATGCTAACATCAAACACAACCATACAGAATCTCACTTCCGAAAGAAATCAAACATAACTAACTGAAAAGCCTCCGTTGCCTAACATTTTGTAGCTTTTAAGTAAGTAATAACCTCTTGGTCCTTGCTAGTTTGGCTGGTAAAAACAGCCAGGAACTGACAAAATTCCCAATCTTCAATACTAATGAATGTATTGACTGCCTACTTACGCTGCCGGTCCCAAGCCCGGATAAAGGAGGACCGGGAGTGCGTCCGGTATTTGACAACCGGCACTCCGTTCTTACGTCGAATCCCTATGATGTATTGACTGCCTACTTATGAAATTGTTCTTACTCAACTGACTGATCACTTAATTTCCCAAGCAAACTAATGTAGGTTTACAGAAACTGCAGATTCAATTAGGTCAATAATTCTTACTTAAACGTTGATTAGTGACTGATAGAATCTACTGAGCAGCCAACTTTAAAAGTTAGATTCAAGTCCAACTAAAAATCGAGGAGCAGAAGAGGCTCTTGGATTCCGATTCACTTCCGATCACCACGACGAGTTTACAAGCAAATACAAACATGAAATTAAGCAGTTAATGGAAGAAATTATTACTCTAATTGGAGATGCAGTGTTCGACTTGGACTCGCCGGAGTTCCACGCCCTGGTCAGTCCTCCTCCTCCAAGATTGGGCGCGTCAGTCGAAACTCGGCGACAGAGAAGAAGCACCGACGACGGGGCGAATCGGCTGGAAATCGTAGCTGGGAAGCATCTCCTGATTCTCCTTGTTGTAAATCCCACTTCCATGGCCGCCCCCGCCGACCTGATACTCTTCTTCTCCTCCGCCTTCGCGGTGGCTGTTGCTGGTGTTGCTGCCAATCTTCATCAGGTTGATGAAGTCGTCGTTCTGGTGGTGCTGCTGCTGCGCTGATTCCTGCGACAGATCCATTACTGCTTGTCCATAAACGACGTCGTGCTCATCGAGGAAATCAAACCGCGGGCTGAGATTTTGGATGCTCCTTTTCGGCTTTTGGGAAATTGATATTATATTGAAGTTCGACGAAGCTATGATTTAACTTGCTTCTTAACGAGTCCAGAGGATATTTGTCGGATTCCCGTGAGGATTTTGAGTTCTTTTAATCACATCGATTCACTGTATGATAAAAAACTATTTTAAATTATTTTATTTAAAATTAAATATAAACAATATATACGATATATAATGAATAGATATAATTGAAGTATTTTTAGGATTCTCATAAAGAGAATCCAGCCAACGATTGTATTTATTTATTATTTTTCTTTTAATTTATTTATTATTTTGTTTCATGGTTTCTCTTGAGCCTTTGGGATTTTTATTGGGCCAGAAAGCCCTTTTGGTGTTCGTACGAGACTTGCATGCATGTGCTGGGCCAAAAACTTAAAAATCAAAAGACGTGTCTTACGATCCTATATCAGGTTGTTCGGTTTGAATTGAACTATTTCAATCACGTTTGACTAATGTTTTGACCGTTGTTTTTTTTATTTTTTTTTTTGTGTGAAGGAAAATACGATATTTATTGATAAGAGAGGAATACGTACAAAATGTGGATAGTGTGCTAATATGGGACTCGATGTTGTGGCCGTTGTTTGAGAAACTATATAAATGTTTAGAGTTGATTTATTAAGTTGGGCATCATTCTGAAATATCCGCCTCCTTTTGCTTCTTCTAAGATTGGATTTGAGAAACTAACTAGGCATGTTGACAGAACAAATGAAGTTGTTTTGTTTGGATTTGGATCCCATCCGGGAGAAAAACTTGTGTGGGGCTTGACTTGCCACTAGATTTTGTTGAATAGCACTACAATCCACTCAAAACTTGTCACATGACAAGTTTAAATATAGTCTTTTATCATTTTTTTTTATATGTTTCACATTCTCATAATTAATTTTATACTAATTAATATCCATCATAAAATCTATCCAATTTCTTCTTATCCCCTTTTTTTTCTTCCCATATGTTACCTCTAATTTATATTTTGCTGTAGGACTCTTCATTTTATTCTCTCCCTATTTCTTGCTTTTCTTTAAAAAAAAAAATATTGGCATCCATTTTATTCTCTCCCTATTTCTTCATCTTTATTATAAGTATTTTAAGAATATGTTAATTAGTCTAATTTTGATTTTTTCAATTGATGGAGACTACTGAGACAACAAAGTTTTAAGAAGATCTGAAAATTTTGAGAAGAAAAATGAGAGCGAGGAAGAAAAGAAAAAAAGAAGCATTAGATTGATCTCATGGTGTATATTGTATATTAATTAATATAAAAATAACTATGAGAATGTTAAATATAAAATAATGATAAAAAATTATATTTAAGACTTATCACGTGTCGAGTTTTGAGTTGTTTGTAGTGCCACTCAATAAAATTCATTGGCAAGTCAAGCCCTACACAAATTGTGGGAATCCTAGGGATCCTCACGTCTTAACCATTAATCGTTTATCGTGCAGTAATAAATCATTTAAATTTTATTATTTAAAATTAAATACAAATAGTAATTAAAGAAAACTAGCCGTACGATAAACGATGAACGGCTAGATATATATGATCCCCATAAGGAGGATCTGGAGAGGATCCTCATCCATTTTGTTTAAAGCAAGATTATCCATTTAAAAACTTGTCTCTTCCACTCCCCACATAACGGAATATTTAGGAGCAATAGGTTTTCTTCATCACTAATCTCTTCATATATTCACTTTCACTTTCGACATACCTTGAATTTTATCAAATCAAAAGTGTTTGTGGCAACGAAGATTACCCAAAGAATGACAAGAAAAAGTATTGTATTATCTGAAATTATTGTAAACAGTCGTTAATTAGCAAATGCTTGCTCAAAATATACCAAGTCACTGGTCTTAATTATAGTTCCAAATTCGAAGAAGACTCGATAACATAAATAATCAAGGTTTAATCTAGATTAATTAAAATATGTACTCCACATTAGACAAGTTGGAAGAAGCAGGCCATGGCACATGGATTACGACCATTTGTTGCTTGTATTCGAAGGCGACGTCGTTTCCACCAATTCTGCAACTTGTTGGCTTCTCAGACGCAAATACTCTCAGCTCTCCAGCGCCTCTGACCCCAATTTGGACGGAATTCCCCTCCTCGTTGAATGACTGGATGGCACCGCCGGTGTTGAGCATGTTGACTAAGCCAATGGGGGCAAACTGGACGTTTTTGCTAGCGGATAAAACAGTCACTGGGGACACAAAAATGAGCTCAAAGTTGAAGGGGTCAAGTGAGAGTTCTGCATCCTCGTTTGGCTTGGATAGGACTAGCTTCTTGGCCTGATGGTAGTACATGGCAAAGGCCTGGACTCCTTCGACGGAGATCGGATTCTTGCCGCTCTTCCACTCGATATCTTTGGGGTTGAACTTGGTGGTCAGCCGGTGGGAGAATTCAGCAAAACATTGGTTGCGACGGGTCTCCCGGCTCCACCCTCCTCCTTGGCAGTTGAATGCCCCTAGAACGCCAGTGTACTGTTACATACGTATCAAAAGGACTATTAGGTCAGTGCGTGACTAGTCTAGAATATCGATAAACTAGCAAAAATAGTAATGTTCTTTTGTCGTATTTTTCTTTTCAAACTATGAATTTGACGAGTTATGTCTATAGAGAATATTAATTTTTCAAATTCATAGTTTAACAACATAAACATTTAACGAATAACGTTTTCTACATAATTAAGAAGATATAGGTTTCTTAGGGTTACCTTGTTGAGGTTCCATATTTTGAGCATGGTGTTACCGTCATGAAGAGGGTCCTCAAAGAGACGATCACGAGTAGGGAGGGCATAGTACTCGCACCGGAGAATAGAGCCATCAGGCAGCACCAGGGTCTTGAGCAAGTCAAAGTTGTGCTTTCCAACGGCGTCGCTCACATAAATAGGACCGCCGGAGATGGCCCTAGAGGCGGCATGGAAGGCGGCGCAAGGGTGGGTCGACTGGAACATGTCCCAGTCGGGGTGTATGAAATTCCCCATCCACAAGCTATTGTAGGCGCAGTGCACCATGTGGCACCCTTGGAGCCAAAACGTACCGTTTGGGTCTCCAGATGGATCCGCGCACCAGAAGTCATCACCTAAATTAACACGCAAAGGAATTGATCAACTATTATAAGATAATACATGTAATTAAATTAATTAAATTACGAGAAGACGTACCGACACGGCCAAGAGTGATTGCTTCTGTTCCAAGGAACATGAAGTCGTTGCAGTGCTCCATGCTTGCAATGACGCCATTGCCATTGAAGTGCTTCCTCACTGAGGATGTTAGGGCATCGAAGTATGCTTTTGCTAGCTTCACACGCCCACCATAGTTCTCACAAAGCATCTCCAACAACTATTTACAACGCAAATACAAATACAAAATAAATTACAATTAGAGACTAAAAACTTGTGCAACTAATAGGATTCTTCAGAAATAAGCTTCTTTTCGTATTAAAAAATAAATAAATAAAACTTATCAAAACACTATACAAGAGTTAAATAAAAAAATAATTTGGAATCAAAGTCTGAAAACGTGTATATGTAATAGGGTTCTTTAGAAATAAGCTTCATTTCATTTCATCCCGAGAACCTGGAAGACATCAATTTAAAAAAAAAAAAAAAAAAAAAACACGCCAGTCAAGTTGTTTTTTAGTGTTTTACACTAACATTATCAGTCATCTATATTAGTTAATAGGCAAAATTAATACGCAGATAAGGAAAATTTCTTATGACAAGAAAAATGGAAAAGTAGATAGAACGTGCCACCAACAAGTCAAACTAACCAAATTAAAATACTCACACCATCATTTCCCAAAGTAAAAGATTAAACCAAAATCCTGATAAAGACGAGAGATTTTTCAACATATTCGAAATATAAAATGATATGTTTTACTATATTATATAAGTGAAGAAATTATTTTTTATAAGACGTGTATGCCAGTGTTCCAAACTAACTAAAAAAACAAGCAAATAGTTATTCATAAAGAAAAAAATACAGGAGAATTAAATAAGATTGTACCCAGATATTATGACACCTAGCAGATTTTACGTGACGATGAAACAACAACGACCAAAATCTAGCTAGCAATAAAAGTCACAAAAAATTAAAAACTAGAAAAAACAAACAACTTACATGGATAACGTCAACTTTTACACCGTCGATCCCGACAGAATTCAAGTGCGAGTGGAGCCCCTCGTACATCTGATCAACTATTTCTGGTGGGACCAGGCCAATTCCGGTGGCCACGATCTTATCAACGGCCAGATCTTTCATCGTCTTCTGTAAACCTGGGGACAATTTGGGCTCCACCACCACTGCCTCAGGTAAGCCGGGTACATGGGGGCGGATGCCACCCCAGTACCCACAAAGCGCGTGCCACACGTACACATAATCAACGCTCTTGAACTCCTCTTTGAGGTCTTTGATAAAGGCACCCATGCCTTTACTAGATTCACCCCTGTTGGGGCTCACATAGTCCCTGAACTTGTAATTTTCTTGAAACTTCAGGAGCCTGCAGGGCATTTGCTCGCCAGCGACCGTCTGATTAATCCCTTCTTGGGTGATGGGGTCAGAGTCGTGGGCGATGGACTGCCACCCGTCGTCGAGCAAGACGAGGCCGGGAGGGCACCCGCCTTCCACGAGCTTCCTCACGCCGTCAATGACGCCGTGAGGGTGCACGGTAAGATAGAAAGCGTCCCAAGTGCACCAGCCGAATTTGTCCACGATGCCAGGTGGGGTCTTCTCCTCGAGAAGCTTGAAAGTTCCCAGATGATCCCTTGCGGCTTTGACGGCATCTTTGACAAGAGTAAACGGATCGTCACCGGCGTGTAGATAAAGCACGCTCTGGAAGGTGCTGGCGGTTTCCTTGGTGGAGCCGCTCTCGACGCATATGTCGAGAAAGTCCTCGTTTCCGGGCTGGATGGAAGCGCGGAAAGATCCTTCTAGGATGGGGAGGAGCACGACGAAGGGCCTCCCGGAGTCCGAGCTCTCAAGAACAACGATCTGAGTCTCGTTCTCGAGGTCTCGGCC